ACGCCGCGCTCTCTTGCCGCCGCACTGCAACCCGTTTCTCTCGAATGGCGCAACAAAAAGCGAACGGGCGACGAAAACGGGAGATCCCCGCGAGGCGGCGGCGGCGGCAGCGTGTGCGCGGCGGCGGCCTTCGCGGTGGTGGGGGGCTTTTTCGAGCGCTCGCGGCCCGAGTCACATGGCACGTTCGTGTGTGCGCGCCAGTGACGATCTGATTGTCCCGTCGTTAAGTCGTCATAACCACTTAAAGCGCATACACGGACGAAAATAATAATAATAACAATAATAATAATAATAGTATAATATCGTTAAAACCGAAAATCGCGGATCGCCGTCCCTCCCCCGCGCCGAAATACCGACTTTACCATACTATCGTGCATTATTATACTTTTCGGAAATTTCGTAATTWAATTTTTTTTTTTCGTTTTTCTCAAGTGTTTACTGACCACGGTTCGGTTTTTTTCCGTTTTTATTTATCAATTCGCGAGTCGTATAAATAAACATATATATAGGTACACTATATATATATCGCCGGTCGTCGTTAAAAATTTTATACTCTGCTCGTAAAAACCGCGGGCGCGCGCGCGAGTTTTACGACCCGTCTGGATATACGACGACGTCGGCGAGATGACCCTTTTTACGACAAATTAAACGGTTCGTAAAGCCGACAAAAAGTGTTTTCGTCTATAAAGTGTGTGTGTATGTGTGTGTGTGTGCGTGCGCGTGCAAGCGTAAGTGTGTGTCTGCGTGTGTGCAATATTATTTGTACGCCTGCATCGACCTAAGCTATGCGATCTTGACGAAATATAATATCGTATTATATTATCTTCATAACTGTACCATTGACCGAAGTCTATAAGGAGGAAGAAAAATTTTCTCGACGCGTCAGCGAAAAAAAATCGCGTCTTTACACTGTCCCACGTGCAGCCACCGAGTGTGAGCGAAAAAAAAAATCAAACAAAAATTTACGTCGAATTATAAGACGTCATAATATTATTATAGTCGCCGAACTATAAWAAAAGTCGCAACCGTAAGATGAATTCGTACTTCGAGCAGAGCGGTTTCTACGGTGGACATCACCATCACCAGTCGTCGTCGGCGCATCACCACGACCAGAACGCCGTGGCGGCCGCGTACCGGTTCCCGATCGGTTTGGGCATGTCACCATACGCGTCTTCGCAACATCATCACCATCACGGACTATCGCAGTCCAGGGCCCCGCAAGACAGCCCGTACGACGCTTCTGTGGCCGCGGCCGCGTGCAAGCTCTACGGCTCCAGCGGTGGCGGTGGTGGTGTCGGCGGTGGTGGCGGCGGTGGCGGAGGGGGCGGCTCCGGCGGCGGTGGCGGCAGCGATCAGTCATCCGCGGCCGCCGTGGCCGCGGCCG